TGTGATTGCTAAGGTGTTTTGGGTGGTTTCCAGGGTGTTGCTATGTGGTTGCTCGAGTATTGTGAGTGGTTTCATTGCTAGAATGTTTCAAAGGCATTCTGAGGGGCTGTTAGTGTGTGGGTATGTGATTACTAGGGTGTTTTGAGTGGTTGTCAGGGTGTTGCTAATGTATTTGGGGTGGTTGCATTGCTAGTGTGTTGCTATGCAGTTACTAGGGTATTCGGTGTGGTTGCATTACTAGAGTGTTGCTATGCATTTGCTAAGGCATTCTGAGAGGCTGTTAGTGTGTTGCTATGTGATTAGGGTGTTTTGAGTGGGTGTCAGGGTGTTGCTAAGGTATTCGGGGTGGTTGCATTACTAGAGTGTTGCTATGCAGTTGTTAAGCTGCCTCTACTTCTACAATCATTGCTACTGTCTACAAACCACCTAAAATTAAGTCACATGCAGCTTTTATGTCTGATTTTGCTGACTTCTTGACGATGCTGACCCGAAGTTCCATAGAATCCTTATTGTGGGGGACTTCAATATTCATGTGGACCAAAGTGACTTGGAAAAAGTCGCGGAAATGCTAATAATTCCTTTGTCGTCTCGCAGTTAGACTATTGTAATGCTCTTTTAGCCGGAGCTTCTAAATCTACACTTAATAAGTTGCAATATGTACAAAATTCAGCCGCTAGGATTTTAACTGGGACTAGGATTGGCAGTCATATTACTCCAGTGTTAGAATCTTTGCACTGGCTCCCGGTCAGGTTTAGAGTGGATTTCAAAATTATGATGCTTACTTTTAAAGCATTACATGGTCTTGCACCACATTACCTTATAGAATTGTTACATCCATACACTCCTAGTCGAAGATTGCATTCATCTCAGTCAAACTTGTTGGTTGTTCCTCAAACACGTCTAAGATCTATGGGTGATAAGGCTTTCTCTTTCTATGCTCCTGTCCTTTGGAATTTGTACATCAATTTGACATAGTCACCACTGATAAGCTACTACTAAATATATTGTAGAAACTTAATTTTCTGTAAAGATGCTTTGCAACGATTTGTATCGTGAAAAGCGCTATACAAATAAACTTGAATTGAATAGTTGTTAAGTAGATGTTAGTATATTGATATGCTAGCACTAGGGTATATTGGGGGTTATTACATTGCCAGAATGTTGCTATGTGATTGCTAAGGTGTTTTGGGTGGTTTCCAGGGTGTTGCTATGTGGTTGCTCGAGTATTGTGAGTGGTTTCATTGCTAGAATGTTTCAAAGGCATTCTGAGGGGCTGTTAGTGTGTGGGTATGTGATTACTAGGGTGTTTTGAGTGGTTGTCAGGGTGTTGCTAATGTATTTGGGGTGGTTGCATTGCTAGTGTGTTGCTATGCAGTTACTAGGGTATTCGGTGTGGTTGCATTACTAGAGTGTTGCTATGCATTTGCTAAGGCATTCTGAGAGGCTGTTAGTGTGTTGCTATGTGATTAGGGTGTTTTGAGTGGGTGTCAGGGTGTTGCTAAGGTATTCGGGGTGGTTGCATTACTAGAGTGTTGCTCTGCAGTTGTTAAGCTGCCTCTACTTCTACAATCATTGCTACTGTCTACAAACCACCTAAAATTAAGTCACATGCAGCTTTTATGTCTGATTTTGCTGACTTCTTGACGATGCTGACCCGAAGTTCCATAGAATCCTTATTGTGGGGGACTTCAATATTCATGTGGACCAAAGTGACTTGGAAAAAGTCGCGGAAATGCTAATAATTCCTTTGTCGTCTCGCAGTTAGACTATTGTAATGCTCTTTTAGCCGGAGCTTCTAAATCTACACTTAATAAGTTGCAATATGTACAAAATTCAGCCGCTAGGATTTTAACTGGGACTAGGATTGGCAGTCATATTACTCCAGTGTTAGAATCTTTGCACTGGCTCCCGGTCAGGTTTAGAGTGGATTTCAAAATTATGATGCTTACTTTTAAAGCATTACATGGATTGGCACCACATTACCTTACAGAACTGTTACATCCTTACACTCCTAGGCATAGATTGCGTTCCTCTCAGTCAAACTTGTTGGTTGTTCCTCAAACAGGTCTAAGATCTATGGGTGATAAGGCTTTCTCTTTCTATGCTCCTGTCCTTTGGAATTCTCTACCTCTTGAACTTAGGGACGCTCAGAATTATGATGTTTTTAAGGTTCAACTTAAGAAACTTTTTTTAAACTTGCATTTGCTTGTTGATTTTGTATCGTTTTTTTATTGTATTGATTATATTGTGTTCAGCGCTTTGAGAAGCTGCTTTTAAAGGCGCTTAATAAAATAAAGTTTATTATTAAAGGAACTCTGAGGGGCTGTAGTGTGTTGCTATGTGATTACTAGTTGTTATAGGTGGTTTCCAGTATGTTACTATGCAGTTGCTAGAGTATTCTGGCTGGAATGTTGCTATTCAGTTGCTAAGGCTTTCTAAGGGGCTGTTAGTATATTGCTATGCTATTACTAGGGTGTTTGGGGTGATTGCCAGGGTGTTGCTATGCAGTTTCTAGGGTATTCTAAGGGGCTGTTAGTATGTTGCTATGCGGTTACTAGGGTGTTTTGGGTGATTGCCAGGGTGTTGCTTTGCAGCTGCTTTGGTATTCGGGGTGTTTGCATTGCTAGAGTGTTGCTATGCATTTGCTAAGGCATTCTGAGAGGCTGTTAGTGTGTTGCTATGTGATTGCTAGGATATTTTGGATGGTTGCTAGGGTATTGTGATCTCTAAAATGTTAACTTAGATTTTTCTCCCCTGTATAATGGTCTGGTAGGTGATTGCTTAGTATTTGACATAAATATTGAAATATTAGCCAACTAATGATTCTGCATAAATGTTGACTCATTCCTTTTTTATATGGACTAATAGCATTTAACACCAGACCATCATGACAGCTAATGATTTTGTATCCTGTTTTTTTTTTTCATTTTCCTCTAAAACTGCTTTCAATGGCTTTCCCTTGGGCACACTAAAGATGAGTTTAGCCTCACTGAAAATGGATAGAAGCAATTTCCATAAGTCTACTTTATCTGAGCTTGCAGAAGAGTCTTGGTCATTACCAGAAGCGTCTGCCCATAAGAGCTGCTCCATCCGGTGCCAGCACATACAGATGGTGTGTGTGTACGCGTGTATTTCTTCACTCATAGACAGAGCCGTCAACACAAAGCTTTACTGAATAAGCATGTTTGGGCGCCTTTGAATCGCCTTTCATTTCCATATCGCTGACATGCATTCATGGAGGGCAGACGTTAAATGTCTAACCCCTCCCTGCAAACATCTGAATGAGGGCCG